TTTATTGTGGGCCAATTTGTACCTTCGAAATTTTTATATGTTTTTATATTTTTATTAAGGTCCAACATGATTTATTGTTTATGACTGTCCAACCGTTAGGTGACGAGCGACGGTGTAGTCGACTTTCTTCAGGTCAACTTTGACCTGAACTCGAACATTTTGTTAGGGCGGTTCTTACCCCTTCTCGGAACATTTTTCAACCAATCTAATGGTTAATTTTGAGAAGTCGCTCGTCTACCCCCAAATACATGCCAATCCCACTCCACATTTTTAGTTTTCGTGAAAAATACTCATGAAAGACAAGATAGATTCTCTTACCAGCTCTTAACGACTAAACATTCTTAAAAGTCCGTTACCACGTCGTGTGATTTCTTCTAAGTACAAAATAAAGTTTATCTTATACCTCCTACATCAGTTTGTTTATTCATATTATCGGAGTAGTGGTCACTGATACAAAACTTAACCAGCTTGCGATCACTAACACAATACCTAACCAGCTTGCGTATGCATTAAGTTGACGCGCAGCACAAAACAGGGGATTTTATATCGGACGCATTGTTATTGGAAAAAGCAGCGGAATTGAAAGAAGAAATAGGCGCCCCGTCACATTTTAAAACCAGTGCAGGGTGGTTAGCAAAATTTAAAAGACGACATGGAATACGATTAGTGCACCTTTATGGTGAGCAAGATAGTGCCGATAGAAATGCAGCGGAACGATTTGTAACCAATTTTAGAAAGCTCGTAAATGAGGAAAATATTGATTTAAATAATATATATAATATGGACGAAAGTGGACTCTTATGGAAAGCGCTGCCAGAGAAAACCCTCGTGAGTAACAGTGAAGGGCGCGTGAGTGGGCAAAAACTTAAAAAAGAGAGAGTAACTGTGGGGTTCTGCGCAAATGTGACGGGGACGCACAAACTGATGCCAATTTTTATTAATAAATATAAAAAACCACGCGCTTTACGAAATATCACTAATAATAACTTGCCCGTAATATTTAAAGCGCAATCAAATGCGTGGATGGTCCAAGAGTTATTTGTTGATTGGTTTGTGTGATTTCTTCTAAGTACAAAATAAAGTTTATCTTATACCTCCTACATCAGTTTGTTTATTCATATTATCGGAGTAGTGATCACTAACACAATACCTAACCAGCTTGCGTATGCATTAAGTTGACGCGCAGCACAAAACAGGGGATTTTATATCGGACGCATTGTTATTGGAAAAAGCAGCGGAATTGAAAGAAGAAATAGGCGCCCCGTCACATTTTAAAACCAGTGCAGGGTGGTTAGCAAAATTTAAAAGACGACATGGAATACGATTAGTGCACCTTTATGGTGAGCAAGATAGTGCCGATAGAAATGCAGCGGAACAATTTGTAACCAATTTTAGAAAGCTCGTAAATGAGGAAAATATTGATTTAAATAATATATATAATATGGACGAAAGTGGACTCTTATGGAAAGCGTTGCCAGAGAAAACCCTCGTGAGTAACAGTGAAGGGCGCGTGAGTGGGCAAAAACTTAAAAAAGAGAGAGTAACTGTGGGGTTCTGCGCAAATGTGACGGGGACGCACAAACTGATGCCAATTTTTATTAATAAATATAAAAAACCACGCGCTTTACGAAATATCACTAATAATAACTTGCCCGTAATATTTAAAGCGCAATCAAATGCGTGGATGGTCCAAGAGTTATTTGTTGATTGGTTTTGTTTAGAATGTAAGAAATAGCCGTTTACTTTTTCAAAATTTCTCGTGTTCGAACTTCCGTACCCGTTCCCCCCCTTGCCGAACATCTAACAATATAAATACGGCCCAACCGACCGTGTCGTATTAACCGTATTACTGTATTACCTGTCGTATTACTTTTCGCTATCGACAGACCGAAACCGCGAATCTTTCCGAAACGTTTCTTTTAATAATCCGTGTCCAATTTATTGTATTGCCAAAATCATTGTCCGAAGTTATCGTCAGTTTTTGTTTTGTCTTCGTGGTGTATAATAAAATTTAAGTTTTTGTGAACGTTCAAATCGTGTTACATCATTTGCGTCCAAGTGCAACAAGTCCAGTTCCAATTCAACCAGTGTCCGAAACAGGTTTGATAATCATTTTAAAAAATCGGTGCAATCATTTCACTTAGAGAACGGATTATCTGGAAAAATAATACAGTGGATATTCTATATAAGCAAATCTTTCGGGTCTGAGGTTTTGCGTATATGGTACAGGTCCTACATTGATTGATGTCTTGCCGAACGTAGAAAAGGACAGAAGAGAAAAATATCACGGTCGCCGTTTGCGTATATCGTAAAGGTGCTACATTTCATGCGAAGGAGACCGAACGTGAACAGTGACGTACTAGAAGGACACTCCTAATGCAGGAATAAAACTTTTTTACTTTTGACTTTTTCGTTACCAAACTTTTACCAATTAATTCTTGACATTTTTCCGATTAAAATGAGACCAAACACGATATAATTTGGACTATATTTACTGGATTAATTGACGATAAAAATTTCTTACGTCGAAAAGGATAGCGAGTCAAAAAGAAAGAGACGCTACGATCGTGGCAGTCGGCAAAGATCAAAAGTCACAAAAATCAAAAGTCTGTTCGATTGTTTGCAATGCGTATGTATCACTAACTTTTTTATTTTTAATCTATTTTTTATACAACTTATTTCATCGTATTCGTGACATTTTTCTGATTAAAATGAGACCAAATACGACGTAATTCGGGACATATTTACTTCTACATATGTAATAACATTGGACTCGGACACCCAACGCAACATTCGAACCGATCATCTAAACATCCTCTCGCAAACGCAACTCAATATCTCATTTCATACGCACCGAAATTCTTACAGCTAGACTAAATAAAAGTTAATACCATATAGTGTATATACCAAAGCAAAATAAAATCTTACAATAGACACTGTGGTGCAAGAATAAAAATATTTTAACATTAGATTTTGGAGAATTTTTTATTCTCCACAATTCATCAGAATCGTCGGATTTCATTTACGATATGATATTACGGAATCGGAGAGAAAAAAAAGTAAAATTATTAAATAATTTTTCTTTCAACATTTTTTTATTTTTGTTAAATAAATTAATTAAAATTATGGATAAAAATGTACCTGAAATTGTTGATCATTGTCAGCCATTAGATTTAAAAAAAAAGCATATTGATATAATATAATTTCGGAGAATATACTTTTCATAATACGACAGAATCGCTATGCATCAAAGTGAGAAAACAATATATATGTTCTGTCCTCTTTCCACTATTCTGTTCGGTCGACCGTGAAAATTTATGACTTCTTCGGTTTCGCGGATCTCTCACTCCGCGGCGGGCTTCAATCAAAGAAGCGGGGATAAAAATTTGCTAATTTCGAGGCTCGAAACTGTTGTTTATTTCGAGGCAATACTGTACTATGAATTAATATGCCGTCCCGAAAGAAATTCCTTAGAGTAGACACTGTGGTACAAGAATAAAAATTTAATTGTTTGCAATGCTAATGCTTTGTTAACTTTTTATTTTTTATCCATGTTTTATACAACTTGCTTTATCATATTCGTGACATTTTCCTGATTAAACTGAGAGCAAACAGGACGTAATTCGAGTTACACGGTATTGATTCGTAACAAGCAACAGTTATGTGATTCATAAGTGGCAATTTCTATCCCTTCTTTATTTGAAGACGGCCGTTGAGTGAGAGATCGGAAAAAGAGTGAGAGGTTCATGAAACCGGGGAAATCATAAATGTTCGTGGTTGATCAAACAGTTTAGTGGAAAGAGGACAGAAGATATATATGGTTTTCTCACTCTGATACATAACAATTCTGTTGTATTACGATAAAATAATTTAAAAAAAAAAAATACGCCGACTTCGACATGCACTAAAAAGTATAAAATAATTTCTATTTCCTAATTAAATAATTTCTATTTCATTCAATCATACAATTACGTAACAGACATAAATGAAACGTATTTACTTGCTAGGTAGTATATTAAATACATTTCAACCTTTTCGGAGGCGGCGCAAAATTAAAAGATTTTCTTGAACATGTCAGTCTTTGGACAGCCGAACATAGGCAAAGCTTATATAGCTATTTTTTTTGTACATATAACTCGACAGCGCGCCGCGAAGTAGGTGTTAGTGCGTATAGAATGTAGCTATGGTCTATCTAGATTCATAGAGTATGCGACGAAAGACTCGATCGCCGCATATACTATAAAGATAGAGCCGCAAATTTGGTAATTTCCGCGTCGTCGGCTCCGTTTATAAGTTCTTAGATCGATGGCTTCCACATGCGAATGAAGTCGATTCGATTTCATTTATATCAGAAACATTGCGAAATGAAGATGCAGTCGTTACATTTACGTACTAGATATATCTATAATGCTTCGTATTCTTTATCAGGATTTATTAATTTCCAATACGCCATACTACAATCAACTGGTTATTGGCAGCAACGTTTACTGAGGTATTTTTAATTGTAACATCCCTGGAGAAATTTTTCCGTAACACTACGACGATCTAATACTCACCACTAGAATAGTTAATTACCGACAGTAATTGTCAATTACCGACAATAGGTTACGTATCGACTATCGATCCTATTTGACTCGACGATCGATAATCAATATATATATATATATTTTTTTTTTTTCATTTATATTAACTAACTTGTAATTTTGATTTAGAGTAGGTACTATTTTCTATAAAAGTAATTGAATATTGAGTTGGAATAGTTAAAACAAGATAATGTATTATTTTATTTTATTTTTCTAATAAATAGTTCGTATAAGAATTTCCGTTATGCTATGATGTGATTACGCGCCGCGATACTCGGCCGAAATCCTTGAGACCGGCGTTGATCCTAGAAAAGGACAGAGATACTACTCTCTATCTCCTACTTCTATCTACGACGATTACATCTTTTATTTCTATCTACGATGTTATCAGATATTAAATTAATTAAATTAACTAAATCAATTTATATATATGTCTGCATAAATGCCATGAACATAATTAAGTAAAAGACAACACGGATATTCGTTTTTCAATTTTTTTTTTATTTATTATTTGTTACTATTAAAAAATTGATATATTGTAGAGGGGTAGCCTCCCCCTCTTCCGGCGCCTCTTCCTCCACCGCCGCCTGTTCCTCTACCGCCACCTCTTCCTCCACCGGCGCCTCTGCCGCGATAAGGTTTTCGGCGCGTGCCCGCCGATGTCCCCCTGACTGCAATGTAAAATTTGAAGTATTACATACGTTATACATTTTTGGACTTAATTCTTTATTGTCTACGACACGGATTGGTTAACACTATAACTACCAGCGTTCGATGTACATGACTTTTAAGTCGGGAATAAAATAATAAAACAAAGGATGAAATATAATCATACCGTTGCACATACCGTACTTTTTTATCTGAACACTAAGATGAACGTATATTCGAAGAAACAATTTTACAAGTTTTATAATTGAAAAATTGTGAATTGCAAAGTATTGTTATTGCAAAAAAGCGGCAACTTTTGAAATAAACTTTTCTTGATTTTAGTGCGGTTTTAATATCTTATCGCGGACATGATTCTAAACAATTTTGTTCCTATACAAATTTTGCGGAAAGATTTAGTTTTTCGAGATATTAGCGAAGAATTGTTATTAACTTTTGAAAACAACTTCGAACGATTTTAACGTCCTTTTAATATGTTGTCAGGGGCATTGTGGACAACCTTTTCCTTATGCATAATTGACGGAAAGTTAAGATTTTACAAGTTTTATAATTGAAAAATATATACTGATCGAATTGAGTAACCTCCTCCTTTTTCGAAGTCGGTTAAAAAATAAGACACTTTAAACAATTAATTTTGAGCCCTTCGGTAGTTGTAGTGTTAATCATTTATGTGATAGAATCTGTGATGCTTACCGCGTAACGGCTTAGCGTCTACTTCCCCCTTTTCTTCTTGTTCTACTTGGTGTTGTTGCTGCTGCTGCTGCTGCGGTTGTTGCTGCTGCTGCTGCGGTTGTTGTTGCACCGCTTGTTGCTGCATTTGTTGCATCTGCAACATCTGTTGCTGCAACTGCTGCTGTTGCAGCTGCATCTGCTGCAACGTATTTATGAATGATTATTCTGAAAGAGAGAAAAGGAAAATATATATCTTACGTACATTTTCTTCAATCATGCATTATATTAATTTCCCATTGAAATTTTAATTATACTTACGACTATTTTCGTTGTCTCCATCCATAGTAGTTTGTTTATAATTATTATCAAAATCGTTTCCGTTGAGCGTATGTCTTCTTTTTGAAGCACTACGACGCGAGCTGTCGACTGTCTAATCTTTTTGCGCTAGATCTTCTTGATTTAAAACCTACGCATTTTCTTAGGCCAACCCCCTACTAGGTGGGGTTAACCAATTATAGAGAACCTAAATTCCGGCAAATCGTACCCGGCAAATCGTACGACCTCCCTCTTATGCTCGGAACACGCTTCCTTGAAGCGGCGGTACGATTTGACGGGGGTGCGTTTGCTGGTAAAGGTGGCAACGCAGCGGAATTTCCCCGTGCCCTTGGTCAGCTACGCGGCCAGCCGATGGTCGCTTGACCTCTCGTTGCAGGCCCACGGGGAAACCCAGGGTTTATGACACTTAAGTGTTTTACTGTTGTAACCGCTCGTACGAGGTCACTCGCGTCGCGAACTGATCGCACGGATTTTTTAACTCCGTGCCACGAGGTTGTAAATCTCGTGACTCGTTTGGCTACGATCCTTCGCGACGCGCTGCTCTGCGGAATTAACTTTCGAGCAGTGATTCAAAGTGAGTCCGAACGATTGACTCCGGAAAATGGTTAAGTCCGTAACGTTGACTTATCGAAAGTTATGTTCTCTTCGAATGTGCGAGATGTTCTGTGCGAATGTTAGGTATGTTCTGTCGTACGATGCGTTCTATCCTTAGCTCTCGATCGTGCGAGCTAAGGAGCCCTGGCGAAAGTTTTGGAAACACGCTGATTGGTCATCATTCGATTTTTGATTTTCCAATCAACGTGTCCCTTGACTTTCTCCCACCCTTCCGTTACGCCCTTAGCGCGTTTCTTTAAGAGGGTGGGACGGTACCAAAGCGTACGTGAGAAATCTGCAAGTCCGACAACGCCGGGGTTTTTCCTCTGAGTCTCAGGCCCGATGGCCGTAAAGTACCGTAACGAATGTACCGTCGAAATGACCCTTCAGAATTACCGAATTTATGACAGGAATTGGCTATCGAGGACGAAACGAAACTAAAAATTTAACGCTATTGTACGAAAAAAGGTAAATGAGTATTGCAGGAAATAAGGAAAAAGTCTTTCTCAAAAATAGCCTTTGTCGCGGACCTATCATAAACTCTCCAAGCAGAATTCTCACGTACCGTGTTCCAACGGTTGGAACAACTGTTGAAACCGTTGGCAAAATTCTAAGTACGGTCATGCTTTGACTAAAGATTCTAAAACGGTTTCCTCAAAAAAAAACAGTTTCGCTGTCGTCCCTGTCATAAACCGTGCTAGCCGTTTGCACGTTACAAGCTATTTACAAAATTTACAAAATTTACAGATTTATAGCTAGCCGCTACAATAATCTATTTCCATTTGTGAATAAAGTTCCGAAAAGCACTCATCCTCTATTTTTATTTGAAGCTTAGTATTCTTGTTTTTATATCCTGATTACGAATATCATGATGAAATGTAGTGACTGCATGATTTTTTCACGGCAAAAAGAACCGTGACAGGAACATATAACTGCGGTTCAATAATAAGTCATAAATTTTCACGGTCGATCGAACAGTTTAGTGGAAAGAGGACAGAACATATATATTGTTTTCTCACTGTAATGCATAACGATTCTGTCGTTCATTCATGTAATCCTACATTGATTCGTAATAAGCCACTCGCTCGGGTCTGGCCAGTTGCTTGTTACGAATCCGGTACATTATATTTTCTCACTCTGATGCGGTACATTATATTGTTTTCTCACTGTGATACATAGCGACTCTGTCGTATTATGACATTTTTTTTTAAATCTAATGGTTGACAGTGAAGAATAATTTGAGGTATATTTTTATCTATAATTTTAATTAATTTATTTAACAAAAAAAATAAAAGAAAGTTGAAGGAAAAATTATTTAAGTGTAATACACTATATACAATATATAATATTATATTATAGGAATTAGGCGGTGAGATAAAGTAAAACACTTTCAATTATATTTTAAAATAGAAACTTTAATTTAACTTTTGAAGCTGTGAAAGGTATGTCTTTTTCTCGTCAACGAAAGCCGTAAGAATAATAAAACTCGTCGAAGGAAAAATCCGTTACGAGTTTATAGTGTTACGAGTTCATAGACCCTATGGGGCCTATGATGAAAACAAACATGTGCAACCTCTTGAGTCGAAACTCCAACGTTAGTGAAAGTTTACGACCCTATGTTTTTTCCTGAAGGCAACACTCATTGTGTTGAATAAATCCAACATATATGAACTATGTACAATGAAATAGTCATAAAACTAGGTGCTCGTTCAATCATAATTTTTTCCGAATTGCTTTATTGTCGCAATAACCGCGAGGTCCTACCATTTTTTTGACATCAATATTTCTTAATGTACTATGTAGATATATGTTTAGATTCACATAATTGTAAATAAGGTGAAGTGTGACAAATTAGGAATTGCAGCGTATTCGATTCATTTGATTGTACATCGATTCGTAATAAGCCACTGGTAATAAGGCACTTGCTGGGGTTTGGGCAGTTGCTAGTTACGAATCCAGTATGTAACCGTACAAAGCACGCTCACATATTAGCGATTCATAGTTCGAGGATTGCGGGGTGGGGTAGAGAGCAAGTAGGCAAACTATTTCGTCACGCGTCCAAATAGCGCATGCGTGTTATCCCCTCCAGGGAACAGGTGAGCGATCGACCCGCAAGCCGTGAAATCGATCGTCACGCTGATCTCTATCGGATTCTAGATCATTCGTAATTCTAACAAAGACAGCCAGACCAGAAGAAGATAATCAGGTTCTCGCTCTGAGAACAACTGATGAGAAACAACTTCAATCCATCGAGGATCGAATTGACGACAAGTTAAAAATGTGCGAGATGAGTCCATCTCAACGTCAGCGATTGAAAGAGGTAATTCTCAATCATCAAGAAATATGGAGTGATCGTCCAGGTCGTGTACACTGCTACCAACATCAGCTTCGAGTGTGCCATGACGTCCCGTTTATTCAACGAACGTATCCTATTCCGATTAAATATTTGCAGCAGGCAGACGTTGAAATCGACAAGATGTTGCAGTACAATATATTTCAACCGTCCAACAGTTCGTATATTAACCCTCTTGTTCCGGTCATTAAAAAGAATGGATCTCTGAGATTGTGTCTTGACGCACGCATGTTGAATCGGCTTCTTTTGGCCGATAACGAAAGATCCGAGTCAATCGATCAAATTTTTCAACGTTTTCCGGGAGTTAATTATATGACAAGTCTTGATTTAACAAACAGCTTTTGGCAGATTCCTCTCTCCAGAGTCATACAAATATACAGCTTTTCTATATCGTGGAAGGTGTTTCGAATATACAGTAACTCCGTTTGGGTTAAAGACAAGTTCGGCAAGCTTTGTTCGTGCTCTCAGACGAGTATTAGAGGGTTTAGAATCCTTCATGATAAATTTCATAGACGATCTATTATGCATTTCCATCTCTTTTGATCAACACCTAAAGCATCTTGCAAAGTTGTTTGAACGACCGAGGGAGCATGGGTTAACGGTCAATTTAGATAAATGTCAATTCATGGCGAAAGAGATCACTTTTCTGGGTCATGTGTTGTCCCCACAAGGACTAAAGCAGGATCCAGAAAAGTTAGCGGCCATTCGTGATTTTCCGGCTCCTTCAAACGTCAAACAGCTCCGTGGTTTTTTGGGATTAATTAATTTTTACAGTCGGTTCGCTAACCATCATGCCCAAGTGATAGCTCCAAGTCATCCGAAATGGAAGAAGCTTTTAAACGAACTAAAGAGGTCTTCTGAACTAAAGAAGTCTTCTGTCAAACGGTCGTTCTTCGTTTTCCAATTCCAGACCGCGAATATTACCTTTCAACAGATGCTAGTTTTTCTGGACTAGGATGTGTCTTGGCTCAATATGATGATAAGGAAGAATTAAGACCAATCTCATTCGGAAGTTAGACTCTCAAAGGAGCAGAGCTCGCATATTTTACAACTGAAAAGGAATTGTTGGCAATTGTATGGGCATTGGCGAAATTTCGAACGTATCTTTATGGATCTCAGGTAATTTTGTTAACAGATCACCATGCTCTCACGTTTCTGATGAGCAGTAGATTTCTCAGTCAACGATTGACGAGGTGGATCCTATCGATTCAGGATTACTCGATCGAAATTAGACATTGTCCTGGGAAAGACAATGTTCCAGCTGATTGCCTAAGTAGAATGCATTTATGGTCAGCGAGTTTTAACTCCAATAACGAAACTAAAATTCCAATTCTCACCACGTTAGTTAGACAATTATCTAAAGATTTAGTCCACTTGTTCGTCAATATATCAAAGTATCAAAGATCTGATCGACGGTTAGGAGAAATTTTTAAAACACTTGAGCGCGATTCAAACGGGTTAGAGAATAAATATAGCCTTAAAAGAGGAGTACTATTCCATATGAGTAAAAACCTAGGGTGGAGGTGTGTAATTCCGCGAAACAAAGTCATCTCATTAATACAGGAAGTCCACGAAATCTATGCTCATCCCGGAAGCGACAAGTGTATTAAACTAATTTCGGAAGCTTTCTATTTTCCTATATTGGCGAGAACGGTTCGCAGATACATTTCGTCGTGTGATATTTGTCAACGGGTTAAAGTCTTAACACGTCCAATCCATGCGGATATGCAATTGATCCTTCCATGTGCACCATTAGATCTGGTATCCATAGATTATTACGGACCACTGCCAACCGCCCAAGCTGGTTTTAAATACTTTGTCGTATTTGAAGATGTATTTTCAAAATTTGTTAAATTGTATCCACTTAGGCGAATTACTACGAGGATAACGGTGGCAAGGTTGATTAAAGAATTCATTCCGAAAATCGGGAAACCAG